TCTATGTTGTGTTGTTTTGTTCTGCTGATTTATTTGTTGTTTGCTGTGCTGTTGATTGTTGTTTGGTTTAGTTATTGTGTACTGAAGGTGCTGTTACTTTTGTAGACAATGACTAGAACCAATGAACAGATAGCCCGTGCCATGGAGATGATTGTTATGGATATGCAGCAGCAAAATGCTTATTTTGCTAGGATGGATGCTGATAGAGCTGCAGCTGGTGCAGCAAGACCAGTTGGGTCACAGGAGAGCCGGGATCTTGCTGAGTTCCGGAAATACCATCCTCCACAGTTCAAGAGAGATGCAGACCCAGAGGTAGCTGACCAATGAATCTGTGAGCTGGAGAAGATCTTCACTATGTTGGGATGTTCTCAGGAGAGGAGGCTGGCATATACTATATATATGTTGGTTGGAGAGGCTGAGCATTGGTGGAGGGGTACTCACCATATGCTGACTACTAGAGGAGTTGTTGTTGATTGGGAGTGCTTTAGGAGGGTGTTTCTTGAGAAGTACTACCCGGAGAGCGTGAGGCACGCCAAGGAGTTGAGTTCATGCGGTTGCACCAGGGTGGGCTGTCTGTATCGGAGTATGCGATGAGATTCGAGCACCTGGCTCGTTTCTACTCGCAAGCTATTTTTGAGGCCTGGAAATGCAGAAAATTTGCTGAGGGTTTGAGACAAGAGCTGAAGAGGGTGGTGGTGCCTATGGCCATCACTGAGTTTCCGGCCTTGGTGGAGAAGGCTAAGGTGGTTGAGTGGTTAGAAGGTGGCAACCGTGTGATGAAGACTGTTGAGGGACCAGCTGGGTCCAAGAGAGGAGGAAGTCGGAGGAAGCCATATGATAGGCCCAACCATAGCAAGGGGGTCCTGTCATTAGGCAACCTACTGATGCTGCCAGAGGTGGGAGACAGGGTGGAGGTGCCACTCTCAGATGTTACAAGTGTGTTGGACCCCGTTTTGTCAAGGATTGTCCGCACACGGAGAGCCGGTGTTTCAGGTGTCATCAGATGGGTCATGAGTCGACCAACTGTCCTGCTAGAAACAGACCAGAGAGGGGTGTTCAGAGGAGTGATACTCAGAGAGGCGACGCTTAGAGGGGTGATAGACCTACTACAGCTGGTAGAGTGTTTGCTTTGACTGGGGATGAAGCTTCTACTTCCTCAGATCTTGTGAAGAGGAAGGGTAGAGCTGCTGGTAAGGATGTGATGATTCTTTTCGACTTTGGAGCTTCTCATTCCTTTATTTCTTATGCATGTGCTGTTATGCTTGGTGTGCCGGTGTGTGATTTGGAGTTAAGACTGCTAGTGTCGACGCCCGCTTCTGCTTCGGTAGTTGCTTCTAAGTTGTGTGCTGGTTGTCTGATTGTTGTGAATGAGAAGAGGTATAAGGTGAACTTGATTTGTTTACCTTTGGTGGACATTGACATAATCTTAGGGATGGATTGGTTGTTTGCCAATCGCATCCTTATAGATTGTGCCAATAGGAGGTTGATCTTTCCTCAGGTGGAGGATGAGCTGTTGATTTCAGCTGGCCAAGCTGAATCATTGTTGAGAGATGGGGCAGAGTGCTATCTTCTGCTTGTTGCCATGAGTGTGGAGACCGAGAGAGTCATTGCTGAGATTGATGTGGTGAGGGATTTTGCTGAGGTGTTCCCTGATGAGGTGCCTGGATTGCCTCCTACTAGGGAGATGGAATTTAGCATTGACTTGGTTCCAGGTGCGGGGCCAGTGTCGGTGGCTCCCTATAGGATGGCTCCAGCTGAGCTAGTTGGGCTAAAAGGTCAGTTGGAGGACCTGTTGGAGAAGCAGTTGGTGCGGTCGAGTGTATCATCGTGGGGTGCTCTTGGAGTTTTATTCTTTTGTTGTTTTTAGCTACTTAGTGTAGCATTGCTGGATGTATTTTGTGTACTCTGTGTTGTAGCCCAGATTTGGATCTTGTGTATATATATTCTAGATGTTTATATGTATTTTTAAAATGTATAATCTAAAATTTGAAATTTAAAATTTAAAATTTAAAATGTATAATCTAAAATTTGAAATTTAAAATTTATCTATTTAAATTATATATTCTTTGTGGCAGGTTCATCGTTTAAAAGTATATTCTATTGTGTGGAGTTCTACAGTAATAGATAAAACCCAACTTTGATAAATAGTGAAAAAAGAATTGTTGTCTCAAAAATTAGAAGGGTAATATAATAATATGGTTCTAAAAATATTTTATATGTGATAATTTCATATATATAAAAAATATAGTTGTATTATTACCTAATTTAAATAAATTCTAACTCATATTTTTAACAATAATAGGACACTTAAAAATGCAAGATCGAGTAATATCTGTCATATTAACCAGCTTCATACAAAACAAGATATCTCCATTTTTTAGGTTGTGAAAATTTCTTTCATAACCTATAAAAATTTACATCAAATATTAGATCTCTCATATTGATACTTGACACTATTATTTGTTTATGCAATTTTTTAAAGTTAAAGAAATTATGGATGATTTATTTTATAAAGAATTCAAATTTATTCTCAAAAGGTATGACATTATGCAATTTAATTATTAATTATTTAAAATGTTTATTATTTATTGACATTTAATTTAGTTAATTTCGTTCATAATTTGCAAGGAAGCTAAAAGTCGTCCTGAAGCGAAATCATTATTTGATCTTCTTATTAAAAAAAATTTATGATGGAAAAATTGCATGTAATTATTATATATATTATTTTAATCCATCATTACAAATATAATTATGTAAAAGATAAATTTTTCTTTTATATGAATTCACCTTCTATTATGTTTTGATTATTATGCACTTCATTAATGAACAATGATTGAATTAATCATATTATATTGTGTAAAATTATTTATACAATTATATGTTAAGATTGAATTCATTCAATCTATGCGTTATTTTAAAGTTAGAGATAAAATTCATATAGAGGCACGAAGTGCCTCGACCGCGCTAGTATAGGAATAAAGTGTGTTAAACTAAACTATAATTTAATCGGTAACTCTTGAATAAATTGAATACCCAACATTATATTTATGTAAATCTAGACTAGTGCTCCATTCAAGCAATTAATGAGTTGTAATGACACGAATCCATAAGCACCCTATTAGCAAAAGTTTAGGCATCAAAGTTATCCATACAAGTAAAAGAATTTTACAAAATAATGGATTTAAAGAGTATTATGGTGCTCTATTTAAATTATAATCATTGTCATTCTTAATCATGCATTTTGATTGCTGAAAACTAATAATTGTTCAATTGTTTTAACTTGTTTAATGGATTGGTAAAAATTTTCCAGTTTTAATTTGCCTTTTCCCCTTATTTTTAAGTTAACATATATCTTTTCATATATTTTATACTTACTTTTCTTGTAACGTCTTGCTGTTTGGACTCTGGAGTTGGCTAAAGATGATCCCTCCTTTGATTCAAACTTTCGAAACTAAATTCATGATTTTCTATACTGGGGCTTAGTTTATTAGAGATACAGGATACTAGTGTTATTAAGATTGACTATACAAGCCATTTCATTTTGAGTAAATTCGTATTTTAGTGTTATCTTTTTTCTCCCTTTTTCGCCCTCTAAATCATGTTTCCTAACATGGTATCAAAGCAATACCACCCACCTTGAATATTATATCCTGCTGCATTTCATTTTCTTTTCTTTTTCTTGAGAAAATTCTCTTCTGATTTTGATTCCTTGTCCCCCCCTATTTCTCAAAATCACAAAATCTTTGCTCATTTGCGACGATGCCTATTTTGCTTTTTGTATTCTTGATTTGTTGCCTAATAATTGAATCCTTGGGAGTGACATAATGTTGTGTTGCCCATCAATTTGTTGGTTTAGTAACTCATTTGGATGTAAATTTGGATCCAATCAAGTGTAAGGATGATTTCTCTCCATATCCTCTGTCTTTCTTATTTGAAAAAATTCAATGGTCTTCAATTTGGTGGTTCTATGGAGATATGGTTTCACTTTGGGCAACAACGAAAATTATTGATGCGTCAAGATTGTTTTGTTTCAGTTTTTGGGCAATCTTTCGATCTTCGACTTCAATTTTACAAGCAAGTCTTTGGATGCACTCTACAAAAATGTGAAAGGAATTGATCTCGTGTACCCACACCCTGAAGATAATATGTCATGTCCAAAGGGTCTCCTTGTTGAAGGTGAAACACTTTGAGATTTTGACATTAGTGCTGAAGGTTTATTCACTTTGGAAAGTGTCCAGAGCAGTAACACTTGCACACTTATAGACACTTAAGTTTTTGGTGTTTGCTTTTTCCTAGTTTTTTTTTCTTGTTTAGCCCTTATTGGCACAATTTGTTGGTTTTGTTTTTGCCATTGGGTGCTTCTACCTTATGAGTTATGAGTGTCCAAGGTTTATTCAGTTTAAAAGTGTCCAGAGCAGTGACTTGCACACTTATGCACACCAAGTGTTTGGTGTTTGTTTTTTCCAGGTTTTTTTTTTTTACTTGTTTAGCTTTTATTGACATAATTTGTTGGTTCTCGCTTTTGCCTTATGATAGTTAAGCTTTGGGTGCTTCAACCTTATATTGTTTAGGCATTTTCAAAGATTTGTGCTTCTCCCGAGTGTTTAAACTTTTAATTATTATTTCTGCTTGGTGGTTATACTTTTGCCTGGTGGCTTTAGCGATTTCAACTTCTGCCTTGTGTAGATTATGTTTTGTTAATGATATTTTAACCGATATATTTTTGACATTTCATCGTACACCTTTCATATTGCAAGGGCTATTATAATTATAGGATACTTTTCATATACTTCTTTCTTGTGAATTCTTCATACCTTAAAATTATTGAATAATACCTAAATTCCACTATAAAACCGCAAGCACTCACATTTTAGCATCCCCACTATGCATTCCCTGAATCCCAAAAGTTACTCTTATCGATGACAACAGTAAATGCAGTGAAGGGTAACACACTTATACAGTTAATAATCAGAGGCTTACTAGGCCAGTGAAAAGAAAGATACACGAATAAGCTAACAATTTTGAATGAATTCAGATCCATGGGAAAAATATGGCAACTAAACAATCCTTAAAATATATCATATGGCCCAGCTATATTTGTATGAAAAAACAAAGCCCTTCAACAATTACAATGGTGAATATTATTAGTAGACAAGATGCATACTTGTCAATTTCGTTTCTAGACTACATGACTCGGTGAAGCGCTAAGATCACCAGTGATACAAAGACTACAATGCAACACAAGAAACGTTGTCAAGAGTAAATCCTACGATGACCAAGTATTGCTGGTGATGGATCCATAAAATTAATTTAACATACTATTTACCACGCCCATCAGTCTCTAGGGCGAGCCAGCCAGAGGGAACTGAGAGCACGCAGTCGTGAAAAATAGTCATGTATAGCAAGGAGTGCCCGTGCTGATTGGCGAGTTGTCAGTATCCGGTGCATTTGTTGTAGAGTTTGCTGGCGAAGATTGTCAGCCTTATTATCATAAACACCGCAGAAATGGAGCCATGCGTTAGATTTATTGGAAATAATGACATTAAATATTTGTTTACAAGAGCTTTCCATTTTGCTTAGAGGGGATGGACAAATATGAGTAACTTCAGGCAAACCAGAATTAGTAAAGGCAAACAAATGATTCTGGCAACAGTGGTTACAAATCTAAATTGCCACAAGTTCAGACAAAAAAAAGGACCAGTACAACCAGATGCCAGGCCTGGATATATGGCAAAAACAGATGAAATCATGAAAATTCTAATGTAGACCAGTTCCAACAGTTTTAACAAGTCAAATTCATCCCCTTCCACCCCAAAATAATCTAAGGAAACTGGGAGCATTTCTATTTGGAACAAGATGTTAACTGTCAATTTTTAAGTAAGAGTAGGAAATCAAGGTTGGACTCAGACTCTTCAATTATTCACCAAAACCATACCAATGAACCAAACTATTTGCATACAAGCACAGGTAAGAAAAATGTACCTGTCGAATGAAGCCTTCAAGTGTCCCTAGCTTACCCATGGCCATAGCCATTTGACCCATGTAATTTGCCACATTCCCTGATGAACCAGATGAGGCAGGTGCTCCGGTGGACAATGTCTCTGCAAGGGACTGTTGCAATGCATCCATGCCCTGAGACAATGCGTCTTCTGCTTGTTGGGAGGATTGCTGCAAATTGGTAATGCCCATCAGCTGCTGCTCTGTGAGAGGTTCCAATTGACTTACCAGAAGCTGCAATGCAACCAAATTCACGGGACTCAAGTTGATAAAATGACTCTAGATGTCAAAAATAAAAACTCGGTTGTCACAATTATGATAATCTTGTATTTTAGAAGTTCAAGACAAACACATGACTCATGAATAAGCATTATCAGGTAAAAAGGTTAGACCACTTGCTCAGGGCATTTAGATATAAAACACATGTTTATTCTTCTTGATGCTTAGCTACCACCGCCCAAATAGATCCTTATTATTATTATATGAATATCTTTGAAGTAAGTCAGAGACATAAAGATGTTTTTATCAATATAGTCAACTAAGACCGGTTATGATATGGGCAAAAGCTGTTTTTCTTTTTTTTATAATCACAAATATCTTTCTGTGAATTGCGATCATAGTTACGAATTAATGAGAAATAATTGATGTCTCTATGTTTACCAAAGTTCTACATCCTTCTTAAACTTTTATAAAGTATCTAGAACTTATTATATCCTAAAATTCAAAATATTGTCATCTCCCTGTATTTGTGTTGTACTAAGTATCTAGCCTTGATAGGCCGGAGGAATACTCAGTATTTTTAAAAACACGAAGCACACAACACAAGTGTTATATGCTGGGGGTAGGCGGGGCTTGAAACTGTAGTATTATAATACAGTAACAGAGATATAAGGATAACTGCAAAAGATTATTGCATAGCAACCAATGTTGTTAAAAAAGGGTCATGGTACCACTATGGTGGTACGGTGTGGTGTTTTGGAGCCTCTTCATTAGCCATCCACCATTATGTGGACTATGGCATTGTCCACCATTTCCGACATGGTACCCTATATACATGTGGTGTCCGAGTCATGTGCCACAGTTCTGGTGGAAATTGTAGAAATTTGTCAAAGAAAATAGAGAAGGGTTTGGGCAGTATGACCCGACCCAAATATAGGCCCAAAATGTTTAAACACCACAAGAAAAAAGAAAAAAGAAGAGTTTGGGCCATGTAATTTGATAGATCCCATTAGTCAAGATTCAGAATTGAGATAGACGACAGATGAGAGAAGAGAATTAGAGAGAAAATCTATTATTCTGTTCTGCCGAGGGGAGAAAGACCCCTTCACATTGTAAAATCAGTTAAATATCAATTACAAGATAAATGCCCCCTAATTCAATATACAAGGGTATTTATAAGTCCCACACAGTCCAAATCAAAGTGAGCCCTCAACTCAACTATTCTAACTACCCCCGCTAGAATAGACCTTTAATGTTGGAACCGCTTGGTTCCTAACATAATCTGACCCAACCCAAGGCCCAAAATGTTTTAAAAAACCCTACTTTCTAATCCTGGTACTCAATGTAACACCCAGAAACTGAGGTTTCTTCCACCAACCACCCAAAAACAACCATCTCCGCTCCGGTGTGACCATCTCTGACAGAGATGGACGGCCATCTCTAACAAACTTGACTTCTCCTACCCTTCTCTGCATATAAGCATTTTTCTGTTCTTTCTTATAGATGAGAAGAACAAGAAGAGCACAGATAATGCAAGTTCATACTAGATATGCATGTTCATTGAACTTTAGAGATACAAAGGAATGTCGGATTCTAGGGACAGAAAGAAAAATTATGCTTATTGTATTTTCTACCATCTAACCCTTATCATTTGTGTGTGGGTCACAACTGAAATATAACTATATCCTTTTCAAGCAAAAATCTAAACCACAGACTACCAGTGCATCAACGGCAACATTCCTACATACAGCCAGTAAGGCATACAAACGAGCCCTATGCAATACTCCATTTATTTAGATTCTTGACCAACCAGTAATACGAGGAAGCAACTACAAATATAGATGCAAGTCATGCAACAAGTTAGCCTAGCATGTGAATATAATTACTTCTTTTTCACAAAATTCTGCATCTAAATTCAAATGATCCCAAAATCTTATAGGAGAATTAAGAAATTTATAGCCAGGAAAAATTACTAATATATAGTAATATATATATATAT